TGTCTCTCAGTTTAGAATTTGACTCTTGCGTCTGGCAGCGCGGAGAGTCAGCGCGGTGCCAAGACGATGATGTCATCCCGGTGTACGAGAAGATCGGCTACTCGAGGCAGGCAGGCAGATTCCCAAATGACCTGCAAAGGAGACACGTGTTGCAAATAACGAGCTTTGAAGAAGAAAAAAATCCTATATCTCCTGAAATCAAATTAAATTTCATACTAGACTCTGTATATCCAATTACCCTTACTGTTCATTAGTCATCCTTACTATTTTTATCTTCTAGACTTCGATTCACAGTTAATTAGAATATGTGAATCTATCTTGATTAAACGCGTGTCTTCTTACCTCGGCAAGTGGGCGTGTCCTTGTAACGGAGATGGTGAGGGCGGAGCTTGGACTGGCTGTCACCCGCCCCATCGTCTGGAGGCCCAGACACCGCTCTGCCTCCAACCTCTTCGCTGCAACGGAGAAAAGAGAAAGAGGATAAGGAGGGAGGCAGAAAAGGGAAGAGAGAGAATGAGATAGATAGATAAAAAAAAAAAAAAAAAAAAAAAAAAAAAAAAAAAAAAATATATATATATATATATATATATATATATATACATATATATATATATATATATATATATATATATATATATATATATATATATACATACATACATACATACACACACACACACACACACACACACACACACACGCACACGCACACGCACACGCACATACACACACACACACACTCACACACACACACACACACACACACACACACACACACACACACACACACACACACACATATATATATATATATATATATATATATATATATATATATATATATATATGGAGAGAGAGAGAGAGAGAGAGAGAGAGAGAGAGAGAGACAGAGACAGAGAGAGAGAGAAACAAATTGATAAATAGATAGATAAATAGACAGACAGACAAATAGGTAGGTAGATAAACAGACAGACACACAAATAGATTGATAGATAGACAGAGATGGGGGAAGAGAGAGAGAGCGAGAATTATAAATCTTACTTAAGGAGATTGATGATAAAAATAGAAAAAACGCCATTCATTCATTCATTCCTCTTCAACAAAGTCCATTTTTTTCAACATATTGAAAATGTTAATCAAACTTTACAGACTTTACAACCTAGAAAACATTCGTGTCCTATCATAAAATCTCCTCCCCCCCATTCGCCCCCCCGCCCAGCTTCCCCAACTCCCCACCCTTACCTTCGCCGCTCAATCCCTCCCTTTCTTCTCTTTTCTTCCACTTCCATCTCCCTTTTTCACTTCTCTCTTCTTCCCCTATCCCTCAATCCCCTCCTCTCTTTCACCCTTTTTACTTACCATGTTTAATGCTTCTTCTCCTCCCGATTTCGTTCCTCCTCTTCTCATTTCCCATGTCTTTCCCTTTTCCTTTTTTTTTCTCTCCTTTCCCATCTCTCTCGACCTTTCCTTCCCATTCCTCTTCTCCCTCTCCACCTCCCCATCTCCTTCTTCCTTAACTTCACTCTACGCCTCTCCTTCTTAACCTCATCTTATCTCTCTCTTCTTTTCCTTCTCATTCCTTCACTCCCTCTTTATCAATCTTTCCCTATCTCCCTCTTTTCTTTCTGCTCTCTACTCCTCTCCTTCTCCGCTTTTCCACTTTATCTTCTTTTTCCTTTCCTTCCCTCTACTCTTTTACCTCTCCACCTCTTCACCCCATCTTCCTTTTCCTTTCCTTCTCCTTTCTCCTTGCCTTCCCCACCTCCCCACCGTATCTCCCTTTTCATTCCCTTCCTATTCTTCCTCTTCATCTCCACCTCTCCACCCCATCTCCCTCTTCTTTTTCTTCCCTCTACTCCTCTCCCTCTTCATCTCCCCACCCTATCTCCCTCTTCCTTTCCTCCCCTTTACTCCTCCCACTCTCCTTCCTCTTGACTCCCAAACAGCCTCACAGTCTCCCTAAGGCATCCCTCTCTCCTCACTCAATTAGTAGTTACGACTCACAAAATGTATCGTAAACTTAACATGATTATAGGCCCGATGGTCATCCCTGCACACAACTCCCTCTCCTCCCGACGTCGCGAAATGACTAATTGCCCGTCCAAGTTTTTGATTTATCTGTGGAAAGGGTAATGGAACAAACAAAATCCGGAGGAGAAGATGGGAAAATATAGGTTTAGTTTGGATGTGTATCAGGTCTGTAGAATAAGATACAAGTGTGGATATGCATAATCACATTAACGCAAAGACACACACACATACACAGACATACACAGACATACACACACACACACACTCACACACATATACAGACATACACATACACACACACACACACACACAGACACACATACATACAGACACAGAAGGTCACGCCCACTCTCCCAAACACACATATGATCCTGATCTTTCTATTACTGTTTGTATTGCCTCCACCTATCGTCCGTATTTTTCTCTCTCTCTTTCTCACTCCTCCCTTCTCTCCCCTCTCCGCTCTTCC